CAGGAATGCCAGGGGTTCTTCAGCGGCGCTCGTTCTCCCTTTGCCATAAAGAAATGGCATGACTGCTGAACTCAATAGATGGATATAAAACAGTTCACACAATGAACAATAAAAATTGGAAACAAAGCACAATAGATGGCTTGAAGCACACGCAAGCGCGCACACGCACACAAATACACACACACACACACACACAAATACCCTCCAATTCAACAAATTTCACTTAATCCTTAAGCTGGAGCTTAAGTTTCAGTCATTCTGATAATTAGTATTTTCCAAGCACCAGCTCTGATTGGCCGCTGGGACTATGCAGAGGCATGAGCCGATCCACTCATTCTCTCAGGAGCCCTGGGGTGTCACAGAAGTGTCCCCATCCTACTCCTCCACTGCCTCCTGCCCATCTTGTCAAGGACTGAAACAACTACTTTCTTACTCATTTGGGCTTCTGACCATAAGTACTTGTAAACTGCCATCTAATGCTGTTTTTATCTTATCTTATTTTATTTATTTATTTATTTATTTTTGCAGGGGTTGGAAGGGTTGTCATAGCCGGTGGTGCTCAGGGGTTACTCCTGGCTCTGCACTCAAATCATTCCTGGCAGTGCTCAGTGGACCATATGGGATGCCAGAAATCAAACCCAGGTCAGCTGTGTGTAAGGCAAGTGCCCCCCCCCCCCCCACCTCCAGGCCTCCTACATGCATTATTCCTACTGAAAAAGAGAAACAGCCTGGAGGGCAAAGTTCATAGCTTAATTATTATTTTTACTACAGAGGACTGGCCACTGAGTACAATCTAGAATGTTCATTGCTTTCTGAAAAGCAAAAGGAATATAGTTACAGATGTAGTTATAGCTCATATTCCCACATTTAAAGCTTGAGTGAGAATGATTTCAAAATAGCCTTGTAAAGAACAATAAATGCGGCCTCTGAACACACCAGGCGCCACCAACTTGGGGTCAGAAAGCAATCACTATCAAGTCCTCGATCACAATGAACAAAGCCTCCCCGTTTACCTCTATGTACTTTCACACAGAAAGAGGTCAGGAAATTTAAAGAGCAGCCAAATTATTAAGAGGAAATGAAGGACAATTATAAGAGCTAATTATGTCTGACAAGTGATGAGTATGAAAAAAAGGTGCCAGCAGGCGCGATTAGACAGACAGCGAAGGCTAATTGGGGGACTTTTCACGGTGAGTGAAGGACAGTGGAATAGGAATACTTTCAAGGGAAGCAGTTCTAAGAGGCTGACACCGCAGAGAGGTCACGCTGTCGCAGGGATGATGGGCAGCGGGCTCTCCCCCGTTGTGACTCCCCAGACAGTGTGCCAAAACGAGAAACTGGCAGAAGCAATGAGGAAGAGGGGCTTGCAAACTTCATTTGAGAAAATGAAGGCTCAGAGAGATGATCAAATATCTACAGATCATGGTGTTTTTTTTTTTTTTTGAGGAGGTTGTTGGGCCACACCTGGTGATGCTCAGGGCTCACTCCTGGTTCTGTGCTCAGAGGAACTCTGGTGGGCTTGGGGGACCACACATGATAGCAGGGTAAACTGAGAAGGTGGGCTGTGTAAAAGGCATCTTTTCTCTGGTACTATCTCTCCAGCAATACATCTAAGGATTATGAATAGCACAAACAGAGAAACTGCTATTTCTCCTCTGAACTTGAACTACTTGGCCAAAGTTACCATGTGAACTCCAACGAGATGCCCACTGTGTGTGTTACAAGGGAGCACATTACACAGCAGGGCTGAGAGAGGAATTAGTGAGCACGTGAGCACGTGCGCCAGCCTGTGTTTAGAACCCAGTTCTGCCACTTTGCAGCTGGGAGGTGGGGGGGGGGGCATATTTCCTAACACTCTGCACCTCTGGTTCTGCAGCTGAAATACGGAGGTGACAGCAGGACCGAGCTCACACAGATGTGGTGAAGGTTACAACACACACACAAAGATGCAGAAAACAAAGGGCCTGGCACAGGGCAAGAGCTCGACATGCTGTTAGAACCCATCATAAGATCCAGGAAATAAATCACTTTTGTAAAGGTTTGACTCTATGCAGGTGTGGAAAATCAATGAAGTGGTTAGTCGGTGAAAGACAAACCCAACATGAAGTTAAGTGCTATCTGAACAGGATGAAGCAATGTTCATTTTCTGTAAGCTTTTTCTCTATATTTAATTTTTTGGTCACACCTAAGGTACTCAGGGATTATTCCTGGCTCTGTGCTCAGGGATCACCCCTGGTGGGCATGGGGGATCATACATGATGCTGGGGATTGAACCCAGGTTGGCCGCATGCAAGGCAAATGCCCTATTGTTTGTACTATTTCTCCGGCCCTTGATAACTCCTTTCACACTTTTTTTTAAGTGTCCAACACTTTCCACCACGGTTTGAATGTTCCTCTCTCTCTTTCTCCTTCCCTAATGCATCCATTATTTTACCAACAGGCATAAAAAGCATTACAAAGGACTGAAAAGATAGCACAGCGAGTGCTTGCCTTGAATGCAACCAACTTGGGTTTGTTCCTTGGCACCCGAGATGGTCCCCCAAGCTCTACCAGGAGTGATCCCTGAGTGCAGAGCAAGGAGTAAGCCCAGAGTACTGTTGGGTGTGGGACCCTTCCCCGCTTCTCAAAAAAAAAAAAAAAAAGCCAACAACGAAATACCACTGCAACTGGCCAAAGCCAGACCAAATTGAGGCCTTCAAAGATTCTATTAAGAATGGGGGTGGGACTGGAGAGATAGTACAAGGGGTAAGGTGTTTGCTTTGCATGTGGCTGACTTGGGTTTGATCTCTGTAACTGCATATGGTCCCCTAAGTACTGCCAGGAGTGATCCCTGAGCACAGAGCCAGGGGTGAGCCCTGAATACTGCCAGTGTGCCACCCAAATTATTATTATCATTGAAGTTACATGGTTAACAACAATATTCATTTTTCTGCTTTTGGTGTACAAATGTCATTCCAATTTAAAAAATTCCAGAGCAGCAGAGAACATCCTGGTTCATATCATTTTCAGTTAAGCTTAACACATGGGCTGGTACACAGTAAGCACTCAAAAAGTATCTGCCAATCCTACGGCAATGTTCTGTAAGACCCCTCTCAGCTCAAAGCAATAATTACTGAATAACAACAACCAAGGGCTCGGTGTAAAGGGGAAACTTTTTATTTATGGCTCCGGAAATATCTAAGCAACATCTCACTTATGAAAAATGGCTCCATTCCAAAGAAGTTTAGTTAGAACTTGACTGATCTAATCTATCAGTGACTGCTGTTTCCTCAAACAATGACTTTGTAAGTTTTACTTTCAGATTTGCCATCCTCCTTCTAACAATGGGTGATGAGGCCCAACTTCTGTCTCACCATGAATTGGCCACCTAAGAACGATCTGTTTATTAAAAGTACCGATATGGGGATAAAAAATCGTCAATGGTTCTTAATAGTATGTGTGCAGCAGGGTTGTAGCATCTATAAACTGGGGCAGGGAGGTGGCTCAAACGGCTGGAGCACATGCCTGGCATGCACAAGGTCTGGAGTTCATTCTCTGGCACCACGTGTCCCCTGGTGGGTGTTCCCCTGGTGGCCTGAGCACCATCCCTGAACACTGCTGGGGAGGGTTGCCCAAAAGACCCCTAAAATAAACAGAAAACTTTATTTTAAATCTATACATGGCGCACAATTCAAAAGGTCCTGCACGTCACCCCCTTCCACTCGTCTGCTCTTTCCATAAATTACGACTGTGACCCAATTTCCTGGGTATTCTTCTAAATAATTTTTTTGCCGAAGCACAGAATGAACATATACACTATCTTAAAACACACTGGCATATTTCAAGAACCGTTCTAACTTGGGGTTTTCCTATTTAGTAATAGACAGAGGAAATGAAGGGCTCTGCACTTGCAGTAAGTGTCCAAAGTGATGATTGGGGGGGGGGGGAAGCCAACCCCCACCCCCAACTCCGCCTTTATCCAGGCTTAAGGGACTTAAGTGCAGCTCACGATACTGGACTGGGGCACGTGGATCCACCCAAGACTTTGGGAAAGATGTCCTCAAAAGTAGCTCTGCTTACTGAAACATTCTTGATTCAACTGTGTTTCCCTTGAAAGCAGGAAAAACTTGCCCTTCCAATGGATGCGGCCAGACGCCTTCGATTTCCAATCCGGGGCATCCTTCCCGGCCTCAGCATTTACCCGAAACCACCTCCCCGCCAATCCCTGGGCCACGCAAGGCATTCGATGCTGTCCGGGTTCGACCCAGGTCCTGCGTCAAAACGCTGAGCTACGACTGGATTTGGATTTTTTTTCCCCCTCTCTCCTGGCAGCTAAGCAGTTTAACGGGGGTTACAAAATCCCTTTCTCATGCCCCCTCCCCCCCAAGACACGACCGCATCCAGCATCCAGGCCTGCCCCCCGTCCCCCCCCGCCCCGCACCCTGAGCTACCTTCTAGCATCTGGGCCCACGCGAGTCACTTCCAAACTGTTGAGCAGCCCGGCCCGCTCGGTCGGTCGGGCAGGTCCCACCAAGCCAGCAAGAGTTCTGGAGTCGGGGCGCCAGGACCCCCACGCTCCCCGCACGGGCCCATCCCCCATCCCCCCCCTACCCCGCCGCGACAACCGCAGTTGGCTTGGGCCGCAAGGCAGTCCAAGGGCCACCCGAGCGTGTCCTCCGCAGTGTCCCTCTCGGCCAGGCGCGGACCACGGGGCACGGGGTGGCGCGCGCGCGTGTGTGTGTGTGTGTGGGGGGGTGATGGCTCCCTAAGCCGGATTGGGGGTCCCGCCGGGATGCCCCAAGCCCGGGCGGAAGGGGCTCGCAAGGGCAAGGTCACGGGGCCGAGCCCCCCTCCCCCTCAGCAGCAGGCGGGCGTGCCTCCCCCCGCCCCATCCCTCCTCCCTCCCGGGAGACTCTGCGGGGGGCGAGGGTCCGCGGGGGGGGGGGGTGTCCCCGGGGCCCAGACCCGCTCTCCTCAGAAGTCGGGGCCCCCCGCGCCCCCTCCCCGCCCGGCCCCCTCACCCAGCATGATGGGGCTGAGGCGCCGGGCCAGGCCCTTGGACAGGTCGTACACGTAGAGCTTCACCGGATACCGATTCGGCGGCTCCATCAGGACCCGTGGCGGCGGCGGCGGCGGCGGCGGCCACGAAGTCCCTCAGGCACCCGGCAGCGGCGGGGACCCTTCCGGGACCCCCGTCGGGGGTCGGGAGAGGCGGGAGTGTGGGGCGGGGTGTGTGGGGGGGCACCGACGCCCAGCGCTGCTCGCGCCCCCTCAGCCGCCACCGGCAACGACTAAGTGTGAGGTGACAGAGCAGGAGCCGGCAGCGGGCGCGCGGAAGAGGGCGGGGGCGGGGCCGCGCTGGCGCGCATGTGCGGACCCGCGCCGCCCGGCTCCGGGGGGCGGGGCGAACGCCGCGGGGGCGGGGCCCGGGCGAGCGGGCGGGGCCGGGTCGGGGGGAAAGGGCGTCTCCGCGTGATGACGTCGCGGGCGTTGATTGGGCGAGGGGTGCCGGCTCGCGCGCGCTCGGAGAGCTCCGCCTCGGGTGCCTGTGGCGCGGGGCTGTGCCTGAGCGGGCGGCGCGGGGCGGTGTTCTGTGGAGGCTGCTCGCTGGCCAGGCCCCGCCGGACCTTGCTTGGTCTCGTCTTTCTTTTGCGTCTCGCCCCCGCCTCGTCGCGGGGCAGAGTCTGCCGGAGGTAAGGTGGACGAGGAGGGGTAGCGGGGCGGCTTTTGGTCCCCGTTCCTCGCTCCTGAGGGAGGTGACGCCCGGCTGTGGGAGGCCCGTCCGTGTTTGAAACTGCCCCAGCTGAGGCGGTCGGGGAAGATTTCGGGCAGAGAACCAGCGGGGCTAACGTTAGGTCCGCGGCGCGTCTCAGTGTGCTGCGCCCCGCGGGTCCCCGGGATATTCTGAGGGGCCCCCAGGTGAAAATCACGTCAGGGGGCGGGCACCTCAGGAGACGAGGCTGGCTACTCGGACATGCGCCCGCAGGGTGGAGACAAGCCTGGAAGGGGAAGAGGCTGAGGAGAGGACCGGGCTTGAGAGGACAGAATGCCTTGAAGTGGGGGTCCCTCCCGAGGTGGTCACTTTCCCTCAGGGTGGTTGCACAGACTCGTGTCTGCAGTTGCTCCGCCCCAGGCTACCGCTGTCCCTATATTTTATTTAGTTTTTGGCTTTTTTAGGTCACACCTAGTGATGCTCAGGGGTTACTCCTGGCTTTGCACTCAGGAGTTACTTGGGGGGCGGGGGAGAACCATCTGGGATGCCGGGAATCGAACCCAGGTTGGCCGTTTGAAAGGCAAACACCCAACCCGCGGTTGTGTTGCTCCAACCCACCCTCCCTCGCCCGCTGCCCCTTGTGAGTCTGAAGGGGAGAGCGAAGGCGAGGCAGCTGCTAGGATGGCCCGTGTGTGCCAGAACCCTGAAGGCGGCGTCTGCCGCTCTCACCCAGGACCTGATTCCTCAGGGCCGCGCCCAGGGGAGCCCAGGAGAGGGTCGTTTCTAGGTTTAAGTCAGCGCGTGATTGACCTGAGCGCTTCCTCTCGCCTAGTGAACCTTCGCCGACATGTCCGGGTGGGAGTCTTATTACAAAAACGAGGGCGAGGAAGAGGAAGAGGAGCAAGAGGAGAGCAATGAGCTTGGTGGTAAGGGGCTGTGAAACCCGTCTCTGTGTGGAAGTGGTGTCCCCCCTGGCCCTGCCTGCTGTCCCTGGCTGTGCCCTCGAACCCCAAAGGCAGCCTTCTCTCCTCAGTATCAGACCCTCTTCTCTTTGCAGACCGGTCCTACGATCTTTAGTCAGACTCTGGTCTAGTCAGCTGGAAACTTAGGTAGGGCACGGTAGGTGGAGTTTCTGGGGGTTTTTTTTTTTTTTTTTTTTTTTGCTTTTTGGGTCACACCTGGCGATGCACAGGGGTTACTCCTGGCTCCGCACTCATGCACTCAGAAATCACCCCTGGCGGTGCTCAGGGGACCTTATGGGATGCTGGGAATCGAACCTGGGTTGGCCGCATGCAAGGCAAACGCCCTCTCTGCTGTGCTGTTGCTCTAGCCCCTAGGTGGATTTTCTGAACATGGATGTCCTTTGTCAACTTTGGGGGCTCAGATTAGACGCCTTCCTCACCCAGGAAGTAGGTTTGGCGCCTCCTCGGACAGAGCCCACTATGAGAAAACCTGCCCCGCACAATAGCTACAGCAACTATATAGAATGAACATTAGCAGCAGTTCCAAGAGTGTCTCCTCACTGTTGTCCCAGACTGGGTCATTTATGTGCAGGCAACACAGCAGCCTACACACAGTACCAAAAGAAATAAGGCGGTATGGGTCATCTAGTTCTGGTCCATTTAAATCTTGGCTAGAAGACCCCTGACTCGGGCCCCTGACCATTGGGCTATCTTCCCAGCTCTTACTCTGATTCTTACCCCACCTCTCTCCCACTGATTTTTTTTCTTTCTTCTGGGAAGAGTATGGTGCCAGGATCAAACAGAGGTTCCTCCCTGCCATGTGTATGTTCCTGTCCTTTGAGCCTTCTCCCTGGCTCTGAATTGAATTTGTTTTGTTTTGGTCTTTTTTTTTTTTTTGGTCATGTCAAGTCATGTTCACAAACTATTCCTGACTCTGTGCTTCGGAGTGAACACTGACAGTGCTTGGGGACCTTATCTGGTGCTGGGGGTTCCAAGAACGGCATTGCTGCATAGCTTGTGCCCCTAACTTATACCAGTCTTATAAAAAGAAATTAATTTGGGGCCAGAACAACGGTACAGTGGGTAGAGCATTTACCTGGTATGCAGCTGACTCAAGTTCAACCCACACATCCTGTATACTGTCCCTGGCTGTGCCGTGAACCCCAAAGACATCCTTCTCTCCTCAGTTTCAGACCCTCTTCTCTTTGCAGACCTGTCCTCAGATCTTTAGTCAGGCTCTGGTCTAGTCAGCTGGAAACTTAGGTAGGGCACGGGTATAGTCCTTCAAGTTTGCTCTGAGTAATCCTTGAATGCATAGCCAGGAGTGACCCTTAGAGCACCACCAGGTGTGTCCCAAAAACCAAACAGAACTTTTTTTTATTGTATTTTTCCCACTGGGGGGTCATCTCCAGTAGAGCTTGTGGGCTTCCAGGCCTACCACTACCCAGTGGTGCTTGAAGGAATTTTGCAGTACCAAGACTCGAACCTGGTACCTTACTGGGAAGTATATGTGTGCCAGGCATATATTTCTTACTTTGAGCTATCTCCTAGATCCTGGATACCTTTTTATGAAAAACAGCAAACTGGAGATTGAGTCTAGGGGTTAAGGCGCTTGCCTTGCATGCTGCCAACCAAGGTTTGATCCCTGGCACTGCATACGGTTCCCTGAGCACAGAGCCATGAGTAGCCTCTGAGGATCACCAGCTCTAACACACCTTCCCCCCAGAACACACCACTAACCATATAATTATGCCAAAAAGAGGAAGATCGTTAACAGTAAAAGAATGCATCCTTAAAACCAGTTTGAACCTCAGTATTTCACAGTCCCTCTCAACACAGCCAGGCAGAGCCCTGGTGGTCCCCAAGTACCTTCTGGTGAGACACTGGTGTTCCTCAGGACCTTGAACCAGTCAGGCTCATATACTGAATAAGGTATTGATGGGAGTGGGCCGTGTGCCTCAGCACTAATTGGAGGTTGGCCGTGTGCCTCAGCACTAATTGGAGGTTCCCCAAAAGAAAATGTGTCCAGTAAAATATAGGTAAAAAGCTTTACATAGAACATCATGGTGATTCTGGGTCGGAGCTATAGTACAGCAGGTAGGGCATCTGTTTTGCATGTGACTGACCTGGGTTCTATTCCAGCATGTGGCTCCCCAAGCACCGCCAGGAGTAACCCCTGAGCACTGCCAAAAAGACAAAAAAAAAAAAATCATGCTGATTTTTTTTGTTGTTGTTGTTTTCGGTCACACTTTCGGAGAGCCCGGCAAGCTGCTGAGAGTATTCGATATGCCAAACACAGTAACAACAAAGTCTCCAATGGAGACGTTACTGGGCCCGCTCGAGCAAATCGACGATCAATGGGAGGGCCTTTACCTTTTACCTTTCGGTCACACTCAGCAGTTCTCAGGGGTTACTCCTGATTTTACACTCAGGACTTACTCCTGGCGGTGCTTGGGCGACCATATGTGTTGCCTGAGATTGAACTTGGGTCAGTCAAATACAAAGTAAGCGTCCTCCCACTGTGCTATCGCTCCGGCCCCCAACATGCTGATTCTTCAGTAAATTATGTGAGACAGAGGATGGAGTGGGGCTGAGGTATGGCTCGGTGGCAGGCTCTGGGCTCGGTCCCTAGCTCTGCTAAAACAATCCAGATGGGTTATCTATAGACTACAAACATTCAAAAGCTTTTTTTTCCCCCTTTCAGTTTTAGGGCTACAACCAGTGATGTACTTGGGTTACTCCTGGCTCTGCACTCAGGGATCACTCCTGAGTGTGCTCAGGGGACCATAAAAGATGTGAGAAATTGAACCCGGGTCTGCTGTGTGCAAGGCAAGTGCCTTACCTGCTGTAGCTCTCTGGCCCCTTAAGTTTTTTTCGATTAAAAAATTATTATTATTTTGGCTTTTGGGCCACTCCTGGTGATGCTCCTGGTTCTGCACTCAGGAATTACTCTTGGCGGTGCTCAGGGACCATATTGGATGCCAGGGATTAAAACTGGATCAGCCATGTGCAAGGCAAAGCGCTCTGTCTACTGTATTATCTTTCCAGCCCAACTCTTTTTTTTTTCTAAGTTAAAACTAATGTGTAGGAATGTTTGCTGCATGATATGACTGTAAAGAAATGTAAGTGAAGAGTGATTTTCTGAAGACTGCATAGTGGAGAGGCTGAGAGTTGCAATTTTCATTTCATCATCCTGTTAATCGTCGATTGGCTCGAGCAGGCCCCAGTAACGTCTCTTTCATCCTAGCCCTGAGATTATATTCAGGGCTCTTTAGGAGAATGAGACCCATCATTGTTACTGGTATTTGGCATATTTGGTAGGCCACGGGGAGTTTGCCAGACGCTGCCCTGTGGGCAGGCTACATTCGACAGCCTGCAAGTTTGTCCAAAGTAGGAATGAGATAATAAGATGTCGCGCGGCCGCAAATGCGGCCGCGCGGTTCCGGGATCTGGATTTTATAGTCTCTGAGTCTTGGCCGCTGATGGGATTACACGGCGCCAGGGGGCCAGGTGGTGGGTGTGACCCCCGCCTACTGGAATTTGGAGGATCTGGGTGGAAGATGCTCGACTCCAATTCGAGTAGGCTTGGAGGTCTCGGCCCCGGAACCCGCGTGGCTTTGTCCCTCTGCCAGTACCTTCAGGTGTGCGGAGAGTGGTCTCAGCATGGTGGTGGCTGGTCCTGGAGGTCTCCGGCTGCCGTAGCCCTGGCCGGGGCGGGGAGGAAAGCTCAACCCGCTCCCCTCCAAGGGACTCCGGGAAGGAACACCGATTCGCGGGGGCAGAGACTGCACTGCTCTCGTCCGGGATCTGGATTTTATAGTCTCTGAGTCTTGGCCGCTGATGGGATTACACGGCGCCAGGGGGCCAGGTGGTGGGTGTGACCCCCGCCTACTGGAATTTGGAGGATCTGGGTGGAAGATGCTCGACTCCAATTCGAGTAGGCTTGGAGGTCTCGGCCCCGGAACCCGCGTGGCTTTGTCCCTCTGCCAGTACCTTCAGGTGTGCGGAGAGTGGTCTCAGCATGGTGGTGGCTGGTCCTGGAGGTCTCCGGCTGCCGTAGCCCTGGCCGGGGCGGGGAGGAAAGCTCAACCCGCTCCCCTCCAAGGGACTCCGGGAAGGAACACCGATTCGCGGGGGCAGAGACTGCACTGCTCTCGTCTCTCTCTCTCTCTCTCTCTCTCTCTCTCTCTCTCTCCGGACGAGAGTTGCAAGTAGAGGAGATAAGAGGGACCCTTCTGGGGTGACTAGCAAGATTCAATGTGAGGTGTGGTTTCAAGGGTATTTACCTTCTCATAGTTGATTAAATTCTGTTTTTACCCTATGAACTCTTCTCTATTTGTTCTGTATGACTGGTAAAGACGAATACAAACAAATATGAACCATAAGCATAAATTGGTTTTATATGAATGGTAGACATCAATATGACTTTTTTTCCTTCCATTTCTTCCCCCTGTAGGTGAATATAAGTATTCAGGAAGGGATAGTTTGATTTTTTTGGTTGATGCTTCGAGGGCCATGTTTGACTCTCAGGGTGAAGATGGATTGACTCCTTTTGATATGAGTATCCAGGTGAGACTGCTTTTTATTTAACTGAATGAAAGTATTCAGGCTGGAGCACATGAAAGCATGTGGGAAGCTGAAATTCAATCCCTGGCACAGCATGCACCCTGCCCCCAACCCAACCCAAGCACAGAGCCAGGTGTTTTTGACAAACAAAAACAACAAAACAAATGTGTGTGTGTGTGTGTTTGTGTGTGTGTATGTGTTCCCATCCTAGGATATGTACCTGTACTTGTAGCTGGAAAAGTGTAGCAGTGTTGTGGCTGGAGAGATAGCACAGCGGGTAGGGCATTTGCCTTGCACGTGGCTGACCTGAGTTCGATTCCCAGCATCCCATATGGTCCCCTGAGCACCGCCAGGAGTAACCCCTGTGCATCGCCAAGTGTGACCCAAAAAGCAAAAAAAAAAAAAAAAAAGTGTAGCAGTGTTGGAGTACAGATGTGCAGTCTGGATTTGAACTTAAATTGGACTCCTTGCAGAGATGGTGTCTCAAGGAAGAAAGAGAGTACCTGCAGTTAAGTTAGGAAGTGAGGCCTCTTGTCAGTGATAGTTGGAAGTTAGAGAAATACTATTATAGGGCTGGCATGACAGTGCAGACATTAAGGCACTTGCCTTGCATACAGCTGATCTTAGTTCATCCCCTGCCCCACATATGGTCTCCTGAGCACTACCCCAAAATCAAGAAAACAAACTGCCCAGCTTTATTTCCTTTGTTCTTAGAGGACCCCTCCCAAGCGGTGTTCAGGGGCTGTGTGCCATTCTTGGTGATGTAGTTCAGCGACGCAGCCCTGATGTCCACGGTGTAGGCTGGCTGTGCTCACCTTAGATGCTCCTGGTGGTGTGCAAGGGTCATACAGTTGTGAGGATCGAGGTTGGGGCCTCCTGCAAGGCCCGGCCTGTGCTCTGGCCATCTTCCTGGCCCAGACCGCCCAATTATAAAATGGGCACAGAAGTTGAATAAATTTTTCTCTAAAGATACATGGCCAATAAGCGCATGAGAAGAGGCACAATATCTTTAATGTTTAGAGAGATAAAATGAAGAATCACAACCAGGTGCCTTGTTCTTTTTCCCTTTTTTTCCCCTTTCCTTTTTCTTTTTTTTCCTACCTTATTCTGTTTTCTTTTCTTTTTCTTTCTAGGTTTTGGGCTAGACCAGGGCCAGGCTCGGCACCTTTTCCTTGCTCTGTGTTCAGGCGTGACTTTTTGTGGCGCTTGGGGGACTATATATGGTACTGAGGATTGACCTGGTGTCAGCTATGCACAAGGCCAGCACCTTTACCCCTGTACCAGGACTATCTGTCTGACCCCTTTTTTAATTCTCTCCTTGTGGTTAAATGGGAACTGGGCATCAGGCAGGTAGGGTTCATCCAAGGGGAGGACATATGGCTGACCAGGTTTGATCCTGGGCACTGCATCGGTCCCCTGAGCATAAAGCCAGGAGTCAGACCTGAGCATTGCTGGGGTATGGCTCGAGTATCTGCCTCCCTCCAAGCAGTGGGTAATTGTTGGTGAGGATGTAGAGAGATTGGAGCCATAGTTGGTGTGAGTGTGAAATGGATCAGGAACATGTTGGCAGTATCTCATACTTAAGCAAGCAGAGGCCCCAGAAGCAAGCCTGAGCCCATGAGTTTGGCCCTAGTACCACCACATGTGACTAGCTCTGTCCCAGTGGCCCTGCGTCTGGGACTCCCGACTCCATGACAGTGTGAGCCTGTGTGTTCTAGTGCATCCAGAGCGTGTACACCAGTAAGATCATCAGCAGTGACCGGGACCTCCTGGCGGTGGTGTTCTATGGCACAGAGAAGGACAAAAATTCTGTGGATTTCAAGCATATTTATGTCTTACAAGAGTTGGACAGTCCAGGTCAGTAGCTTCTTAAGTTACACTTTTTGGGGGGGGGGGGGGGGGCGGCGTTTGCCTTGCACGCACTCAACATGGCCTACCCGAGTTCGATTCCTCCGCCCCTCTCGGAGAGCCTGGCAAGCTACCGAGAGTATCTCGCAAGCTACCCGTGATGTATTTAATATGCCAAACACAGTAACAACAAGTCTCACGATGAAGATGTTACTGGGCCCGCTCGAACAAATCGATGAACAACGGGAGGACCGTGATTACCGTGACCGTGATTTTTTTTTCTTTTTGGGTCACACCCCCACTGTACTATTGTTCCAGCTCCCCTCCTTCCCCCACCCCCCCACTTTCTCTTACGTGAACGAAGAGGGGTGTAGAGGGGCTTAAGAGAGACCATAGTGGGTCACGTGCTTGCCTTTCATGTGACCGACCAGAGTTCATTCCCTAACAGTCCATAAGGTCCCCTGATGATGCCTGAGCTTAGACCGAGGAGGGATCCCTGAGTGCAGATCCCAGAGTAAGCCCTGAGCACTGCTGGGTGGGGCCCAGATGAAAGGGGGTGTGTCAGCCATCCCGGCTTTGGCGTCTGGGCACACTGCAGAGACGCAATGGCCACTTCCCAGACCCAGATACCTCCTCTCAGCAGAAAGCCACACATGGGGAAGTTCTCTTTCCACTACTGTGATATATATTTTTTTGATAAGAGTTGGAGGTGGGGGTGCAGTTTGGGCCCCAGCTGGCGGTGTTTGGGAGCTGTCCCTGGCTCACTACTTGCAGGTCACTCCTGGCAGTGCTCAGGGAACTGTGGGTGCAGGAATGGACCCCGGATTCTGTGTGGCAGGGCCTGTCGCGGTCTCTCCCTCTGTCACTGCACAGTTGTCTGTCGGGAGCAGAGCACGGCCTGTGTACAGATGTGCCAAAGCAGGCCCAGGGGCTTGGTCAGAGTGGGCTCAGAGCTCAGACTCGTGGAAACGCAGTACCTGGGCGGTGCTGACTGCAGTGTGCTCTCGGGCTGTGGCTCAGTGGTTGAGTGCCTGCCTCGCCTGCGTGAGGCCCTGGTTTCGATCCTGATCACTTCGGTTTTTAAAAGTAAAATGAGGCAAGTCTGTGTGTGCTCCCACACGTGGGGGGTCTCACCGGGGCTAGGGAGCCCTGGGGGAAGCAGGGATCCTGGCCCTGTGGTAGCCTTGGGAAGCGGCTGCTGGCAGTGCCCCGACATTCCGCCCCTTCACCCTCTGTCTCTCATTAGGTGCTAAGAGAGTGCTGGAGCTGGACCAGTTCAAGGGGCCACAGGGGAAAGAACAGTTCCAGAACCTGCTTGGCCATGGGGCCGAGTACTCCCTAAGTGAGGTGCTGTGGGTCTGCGCCAACCTCTTCAGCAGCGTTCAGGTCAAGATGAGCCACAAGCGGATCATGCTGTTCACCAATGAGGACGATCCCCACCGCAGCGACAGCGCCAAAGCCAGCCGAGCCAGGACCAAGGCCGGGGACCTCCGGGACACTGGTGCGTGTTGCTCCCCTTCCCCTTGTCAGTTGGCCCTTGCTGTGTCTTTATCGCTGATTTCAAATGTTTGCTTTTCTCCACTCCGAGTGAGATGAGAGGTAAAGGGGGCTGGGGGAGAAAGTTTGGCATTCCCACCGGAAGCAGCCTTCCTCCTCGCTGTCCAGAGGACTCGCCACTGGGCTGACTTTGCTTTTTATTATTTATTTATTATTTATTATTCTTGGGCTGGAGCCATAGCGCAGCGGGTATGGCGTTTGCCTTGCAAACGTCTAACATGGCCGACCCGAGTTCGATTCCTCCGCCCCTCTCGGAGAGCCCGGCAAGCTACCGAGAGTATCTCGCCCGCACGGCAAAGCCTGGCAAGCTACCTGTGACGTATTCGATATGCCAAACACAGTAACAACAAAGTCTCCAATAGAGATGTTACTGGGCCCGCTCGAGCAAATCGGTGAACAATGGGAGGACCGTGACCGATATATATTATTTATTATTCTTGGGCTGGAACAATAGCGCAGCGGGTAGGGCGTTTGCCTTGCAAGTATCCAACATGGCCGACCCGAGTTCGATTCCTCCGCCCCTCTCGGAGAGCCCCGCAAGCTACCGAGAGTATCTCGCCCGCACGACAAAGCCTGGCAAGCTACCCGTGACACACTCGATATGCCAAACACAGTAACAAGTCTCACAATGTTACTGGGCCCGCTTGAGCAAAATCGATGAACAACGGGAGGACAGTGACAGTGACATTTATTTATTTATTTTGGGCCACACCTGGCTGTGCTCAGGGATTACTCCTGGTGGGGCTTGGGAGACCATATGAAATGTTGGAGATTAAATCCGGGTTGGCCACTTGCAAGGCAAATGCCTTACCCATTCTACTACCACATGGGCCCCCTAGACTTTGCTTTTTAAAAGTACTTTTCTGGGCCAGAGCAATAGTACAGCAGGCAGGATATTTGCTTTGCACGTGGCCAACCTGAGTTCAGTTCCTGCCATTTCATATAGTCCACCAAGCACTGCCAGGAGTGGTTCCTGAGTGCAGAGCCAGGAGTAACCCCTGAGCACCAGCAAGTGTAACCCAAAAAGCAAAAAAAAAAAAAAAAAGGTAAAAAGGTTCATTTCTTTTTTGGCCGGGGGAGGTTTGGGCCACATCCAACTGTGCTCGGGGCTTACTCCTGGCTCTGTGCTCAGGAATCTCTCTTGGCAGTGCCTAAGGCACCACATGTGGTGCCAGGTATTAAACTTGAGTTAGCCGTGTGCAAGGCCTTATCTATTTGTTATATTTTCTTTATGGTCCTGAGATTAATTTACTATTTTCTTTTTAAAAATCTAACTGGACTTTTTGAAATTGGGCTGGAGCAGTAGTATAGCCAGTTGCGTCCCTGCCTTGCATGTGGCTGACCTGGCTTCAATACCTGGCACCCGTGTAGTTCCCCGAGCATTCTAGGAATGACCTCTTGAGTGCAGAGCCAAGAGTTACCCCTAAGCACTGCCAGGTGTGGCCGCAAACCAAACAAAAATCTTAAATTGTTTTCATTAGTGTTTCCCTCTTTGACCTAGTTCCAAGTGAACCTTGTTTAGTTTTGCTTTGGGGGCTACACCCTGTGATCCTCAGAGGTTGTTCCAGGTACTAGGCTTGGGGATTGCTGCTGGTGTGTTCAGGGGACTATGATCAGGGCTTGAACTCTGATCTCCCACATGCAAAGCATGCTTTCAGCCTATTAAGCTCTTGTCTTAGCCCTGGGGACTGTTGAAACATGTATGCGAGGGACAGGAATGTGGCTTAGGGGTAGAGCTCATGATTTGCATGTGTGAAGTGTGGGTTTGATCCCTGGCACCACCAAGAAATAGAAATAAAATTACAAAAATAAAAGCACGCTTGAGCTGAGCTGAGTAAGGAACCTCCCTCACTTTCCTTCGATTAAGCCCACCTGCTTTTCCCCCAGCAGCCTCTGTGGTATTGCCTGCAGCCCCAGGAGCCTTGGAGAACACTTCCAGAGGTCATTTATGCTGTCCCCAGTCTCAGGCTCCAGACAGGGTCCACATTGGGCATCACCATCTCCATTGGCACCTAGCGGCGGCACAAGAAGCATGTGGGGGTCAGAGACAGGCTGGGTTAAGGTGCTGACTTGTGTGTCGCTGGCCCAGGTTGCATCTTGCATCTTGACACTGCCTGGAGTGATCCCTGAGCACAGAGTGAGGAGGCAGCCCTGAGCATTGCTGGGTACAGCCCCAAATCAAAACCCAAAAACCAAAGAAGCGTGTGAGTGAGGCCCTGCCCAGGCCATGTTCGAGGTTGTCGTGTGCCGCATCTGCACACGTACAGGAAGTGGGGCTCAGTCAAATCAGCTTGATGAGTCTGAAAAAGTCGTGGCCCAAGAGACTCCTCCTAGATGGCTGCAGGGCCACATACATCCTGATATCCTGGTCGTGGCCGCTGGGCAAATGCGCCCCTAAGCATCTTGGAGCTGCCCTTCCCGAGTCTCCCCTGGAACCCCTGCTTCCTGTGCCCTTAAGTCTCACCTGCTAAAACTGTCAATTCCCCCTTGCTTTTGTATATCTGCCCAGGAATCTTCCTTGACCTGATGCATCTGAAGAAAGATGGGGGCTTTGACATATCATTGTTCTACAGAGATATCATCAGCATCGCAGAGGATGAGGACCTTGGGGTGCACTTTGAGGAATCGAGCAAGCTTGAAGACCTGCTGAGGAAGGTTCGTGCCAAGGAGACCCGGAAGCGTGTGCTCTGCAGGTGAGCACTCTGAGCCCAGAGCCAGGAGTAAGCCCTGAGCACTACCAGGTGTGCACTGCCCCCTGAATCCCCTAAACAAAATAGCAAAAAGAGCAAGAGCTCGGTAAACTCTTATTATTATTGCGGTTCGGTTCTATCATTCTGAGTTTGTACATGCTGGGTGACGCTAATCGGAGCCAGATTGTCAGATAACACTTGGTGCTTTAATAGAATCTTAAGGGTGATTTTTTTTTGTTTGTTTTTCATTTATTCTGCCAGTGCTTCTTTTTTGTTTGGGGGACACTTAGCAATGCTCAAGCGTTATTCCTAGCTCTGCACTCAGGAATTACTCCTGATGGTCTTGAGGGACCATATGGGATGCTAGGGATCGGACCTGGATTGGCGGCATGCAAAGCTAACTCTCTGTACTATCACTCAGGCCTCCAGTGCTTTTTTTTGGGGGGGGGGGGCTTTTTGGGTCACACCTGGTGATGCACAGGGGTTACTCCTGGCTCTGCACTCAGGAATTACCCCTGGCAAGTGCTCAGGGAATCATATGGGTTGCTGGGAATTGAACCCGGGTTGGCTGTGTACAAGGCAAACACCCTACCTGCTGTACTATTGTTCCATCCCCCACCAGTGCTTTTTTTTTTTTTGGTGGGGGTTACACCCAGCGATGCACAGAGGTTACTCCTGGCTCTGCACTCAGGAATCACCCCTGGCGGTGCTCAGGGGACCATATGGGATGCTGGGAGTTGAACCCAGGTTGGTCACATGCAAGGCAAACGCCCTACCCGCACCAGCCCCAGTTCTTGTTTTTAAAGAGCATTGGTCTTCCAATTTGCTTTATTTTATTTTTGCTGGGGATTAAATCCATGTTTCCTGAAAACACATGCACTTTACCACTGACACTGAACCATATGCCAGCACACCCCCACACTGACATTTATGGGCTGTAACAATTTTTAAATACTTTCAAAGACTATTTGTTTATTGGTTTTTAGGCCACAAATGATTTTGGTCATGGGCTAGTCCTGGCTCAGTACTTGGAGCTCACTCCCAGCTTAGGATATGTTTGGTGCTGGGGGGTCCGACCTCAACCTTCCATACGCCAAGCCCACTGAGCTTTCTCTCTGGCCCTGCTAGAACAGTGAACAAGAGGAAGCCATCAGGTAGTTCATATAGTGGTGCCCAGCCATTACAGACACTAAGACACAGTAACAACAAAGTCTCCAATGGAGACGTTACTGGGCCCGCTCGAGCAAATCGACGATCAACGGGAGGGCCTTTGCCTTTACCTTTACCTTTAATCTGTAGCCACATCAAAAATTTCTGCTTTGATATTAAGGCATATTTGGGGCATCTCCAGGAACTAAATCCTGCATTAGAATTCTACCTCAAACCAGTGTTTTCTTTCCATCATGTGACCCGATAATACCTTTACTCAGCTATCATTTATTTAAACTTTACTATTTTCGTGTTTGGTTTTAGTGTACTCTGGTGTGTGTGTGTGTGTGTGTGTGTGTGTGTGTGTGTGTGTGTTTGGGCCATGTGTGATAGTGTTCTGGGACTGCTCCTGGCTCAGTTCTTGTGCTCTGCTCAGAGCTTGGGGGGACTGTGCAGTACAGGGGATCCGCCTGGGGCTCCTGCGTGCGCAGTATAGCTTCCTGGCCTAAGTGTGTATCACAAATTTTAAGTAGTTGATCTATTCTGAAATGAATTTAAGACTTGGAAAAATTTTGCTTTAAGAACATTTTTGTTTGTTTTGGTGCCATGCTCAGCAGTGTTCAGGGATTAATCCTGACTCTGTATTCAAAGTCACTTGTAGAGGTGCTTGGGGGGACCATATGTGGTTCTAGGAACTGAGCTGGGATAGCCGCATGTAAGGCAAGTGCCTTTCCCCTATACTCTCTCCAGCTCTCACATTTTTTTGTTTTGAGGCCACACCCAGCAGTGCTCACGGGTCACTCCTGGAGGAGTTCAGGGGACCATATGGGGTGCTGGGTATCGAACTCAGATCGGCTAATCAAGGTCAGCATCTTCCCTGCCTGTACTATCTCTTTAGCCCCTGTACATGTCTATTTTCTCTTTTAGGTTGAAGTTTAAACTCAACAAAGATCTAGCATTCACAGTTGGCATTTATAATATGGTCCAGAAAGCTTACAAGCCAGCTCCCGTCAAGCTCTACCGAGAAACAAATGAGCTTGTGAAAACCAAAACGCGGACATTTAATGTGAACACGGGAAGTTTGCTTCTGCCTAGTGATACCAAGCGCTCTCAGGTAAGGCTGCCTTGGCTCTCGATTGTGTCTCTTTGGGGAGTGCGCTGGGAGGAGATCCGGGCAGCCTAACTCTGGTCTGAGGTGCTGTTCACTTCTGAAGCGGGGAGCACAGATGGCTGCTATTGGGGATTATGGTACATGGACCAGTGATGATCAGGAGCCAGACAGATGCTCAGGAGCGGAGAGATATGCCCAGGATCAGAGAGAGATGCCCAGGAGCAGATTGTGATGCCCAGGAGCTGAGAGCGAGATACCCAGGTGTTGGGGGAGAGATGCCCAGAAGCAGAGAGAGATGCTCAGGAGCAGAGCGTGTGATGCCTGGGAACATAGAGAGTGATGCCCAGGAGCAGAGTGATGCCCAGGAACCAGAGAATAGCTGGTGCTTGAAAACTTGAGGTTTTGATCCTTGGAGGTGCTGTTTAACTGTAATTCCTTTCTCCTGCAAGGTCAGGGGCTGGGCACTGACCAAATTTGGCCATCCCAGTGCACAGAGGCCAGTCTTGGCTCTTTGCTCAGAAGTGATCCCCAGTGGTGCTCGGGGGTGTATATGATGCTGTTGACTTGGGCTGAGGTCGGCTGAATGCACGGCTAGTGCCTAACTTCACACTCCTCAGGGCCCACTCCTGTCTTCCTGGCTCTGAGTTCAGGGGTCACTCCTGGTGGTGCTAGTGACTGAATGCTGGTTTGGTTATGCACCTTAACCCCGGTGCTCTCTCTTGCCTCTAGAGCAGGTTGCTTAATCTCAAAGATGGTCTTTAAATGCAGAACGTTTTTGAAGGGTGTGGTGATGAACACACTGGCAGTGCTCAGGGGGGACCATGCTGTGTGGGAATTGAGCCCAGGCCTCCTGCATGCGAAGCCTGTGCTCTAGTCGATTGAACTCTCACCACTCCCATGCTGAACACTTCCTTTTTTGTTGTTGCTGTTTTATTATTATTTAAAAGCTTTTTTTAACATAAAAAAAGATTTTATTTGGAAGATGTTGGGAAGGAGGAAGAGAAAGAGTAACACACTCAAGAGAGAACGTGGGCTTCTCTCTCGAATGTATGTAGGGGCTCCCTCCATCTTTGGTGGAGGGAGCCCCTACATATATCCCAGCATTAGATATGGAAGCATGAAAGGACACATCTCAAGAGGGGAGATGAGGGCAACACGTGTGCTCGGCCACATGGGCACAAGCAGCACCTGGGCTTGGGCAGCAAATGCACCTTTATTGTTTTAGGGCCACATTCAGCAGTAGTCAAGGCTTACGCCTAGCTCTGCGCTCAGGGATCACCCCTAGAGGGGCTCAGGGAACCACATGTCGTGCCGGGGATCGAACTGGGCTCTGCCGCCTACAAGGCAAACACCCTACCCGCTATCCTATGCTCTAGCCCTGAGAACATTTTCTTCCCTCATTTTCTCACTGTGGTTCAGTCTGTAGAAGGGTTTGATATCTAAAATTAAATTCAAGTGAGTCATCCCTCCTTTAATTATGTGAAACGTGGGAGAGATTTTGTATAATTTCAGGACTTAGATCAGTTACATGCCAATTAAATATTGTTTTGATTCAACCCATGAGATTTTTTTTTTGGCAATGTTAGGGATGCAACCCAGGGCCTGACAATGTGTGAGGGAAGCGCTCCCCTACCAAGCCACCCCCGGCCCCACGAGATATTTCTTGGAGCTCACAGTTGAAGGCAGAGTGTTTGCACTCAACTTTCTGAAGGAGATAATAGTTTTTTTTTCTTAGCAGAGGGTGGTTGGGGTTTATGAGCCTTACCACTCCTGGCTCTCTGCCCAGTGGGGCTTGGGAGGACCCCATGTGGTATTGGGGATGAAGCCTGGGTCAGCCATGTGTAAGGGAAGCTCCCTACCCACTGTGCTGTCTCTCTGGCCCCCAAATTTAAATATTTTAAATTGGTTTTGTTTTTTATTTTTGGGCCCCACCTTTCCCTATAGTGTTCATTGGCCCTTGACCACTCTCGGCTAAACTGGCCCAACGGTGCTTAGCCTAATGGTTTGGTACTTGGGATCACCAAGGCCCAGTGGTGCCAGGCTCAAACTCGGGGCCTTAGGCGTGCAGGGGATACGCTGTACTGCTTCTTGCCTTCTCTTTGGACCTGGAATTTGTCCTCCAGAGCTTTCCAGGCACACAGCGGGGCACAGATGTCGGGCTTTGAAGGCTCATAATAACCGAATGGACTGAATTTCCTTCCGTGGTGAGAGTTAGGAAAGCCCACTCCCTGCTCGAGCTCTTGTCCCCCTTTGTGCCCTGGCCCTGCTGCAGGTCTATGGGAACCGTCAGATTGTTCTCGAGAAGGAGGAGACGGAAGCACTGAAGCGCTTCGATGAACCGGGCTTGGTTCTCATCGGCTTCAAGCCCTCGTTCATGCTGAAGAAGCACCAGTACCTGAGGCCGTCCCTGTTCGTGTACCCTGAGGAGTACCTGGTCAAGGGTAGGCAAGAACACGGGCTGGCATGCCGTCAAGGGGGCATTTTGTCAGTTCCTGCAGGGCCCTGGGGACTGTGAGGTGCTGGGGCTTGAGCCCAGGCCAGCTATCAGCAAGGCCAGTGCCTTCCTCTGCATGACCTGCTGTAGCAGCCGTTGGACCATCTCTGAAACTGTTTCATGCCCAGATACATTTTGGAAGTGTGGGACTAAATGCAGTTGAAGAGCTCTTTTGAGACGCTTCAATATTTGTTTTGAAATATTGAAAACTCTTCTGTTCTTGGTTTTGGGGCCACACTCAGCGATGCTCAGGCTTTACTCCTGGTGGGACTCGGGGGTCCCTCTAGGGTTGGGGGATCGAACCCAGATTAGCTGTGTGTAAGGCCAGTGCCATACCCCAGGATCACAGTGTAACTCTCCAGGAGGGTGCTGTGGAATTAACACGTTTTGTGACCTAATTCCTATGGAATTCTTTCTCTGAGGCCTTGGATAGACAGTCTGGCACAGCAGAATCCAGGAAAGGGGCCAGGACTCAGTGCCTGGCTGGCACTGTCTAGGGGTTCCAGCCTCACCACCCCGTGGCCCCTGAGCACCCCCAGGCGGGGCCTCCAGAGTTCAAAAACAACAGAAAAATCAGCTCTTCCCCCTGTGCCAGCAGCAGGGGATGCCCGGGACATGGCCCTTGTGCTTGCAGGGGCCGACAAACCACCTAACATGACTGCCACTGGGGCTCATGTCCTCTGCTGGGCGTCAACTGCCCTTCACAGACTGAGCATTCCAGGCACTGCCTCTTGCCCCTCAACTCTGGGACACTCACCCCTTTCCCAGGGACAGAGTGTGTCTAAGAAAATGAAAGAGAAAATGGGGAGTTGGCCAGTAGGTAGAGGGGCCAGCGGCGGGGCACCCCAAGTGGCCGGGAGACTCCCTGAGTGGTGTCGGGCCTGCTCCGCAGGAAGCTCCACCTTGTTCCACGCGCTGCTCACCAAGTGTCTGGAGAAGGACGTCGTGGCCCTGTGTAGATACACGCCCCGCCAGAACATGCCCCCTTACTTTGTGGCCTTGATGCCCCAGGAGGAGGAACTGGATGACCAGAAAGTTCAGATCACGCCTCCAGGTATGTGGCAGAGAGCTTTCCGGGGGGGCCCCTGGGGCTTGCTTGGGCTTTGGGGTCCCTCGTGAGACCTGCTATGGGTAACTGTGTGTTTTGAGGATTTCGAGGTGAGCCAGCTGCAGAGAGGTAGGGCCATGTCTCACAGAGTCAGCGCTGCCCGTAGTTGCCAGGGTCGGGGGTGGCCAGGCTTAGGGCCCCTCTGGCGCCCTTCTTCACTGAGAATCGTTGTCCGGCTGCCTGGTCTGTGTCTGCCGATGCAGAGAGGCATTGTGGGAACATTGATTTCTGTCTGCTTTGTTTGTAGGGGACACACCCGCCACTGCTTGGGCCCAGTGGTGCCCAGCGTCAGAGCCTTGCAGGCCAGGCTGCGTTTCTCCTCCTGGCTTGTGACGTCAGCCCTGACTCTTTTACACTGTGTCTCAGCTGCCCCTCTCCTTCCTGCTCTTCTCTGCCCCTTTTCAACTCGCTGCCTCTGGGCACAGTTTCGGCTTTTCCATTTGTGACTTTCTCTGGATAGTTGAGAATTGGCCACACCTGGGCTCCTAGTGCTTGGAGGAAATGGTGGGTCTCTGTTGAAGAGCCTGACACCGAGCGGCCAGTAGGGGAGCCTCCGCCCGCCGCCTTCCTTTCCTCTCCTTTCCCTCCGCTCTTCCTCCCTTCCCGCCCTCCACCTGAATCCCTCTAACCCTGCTTCCGAGCGAGGTCCTGCGCCTCACCCTCCACTCTGAGGAGCGTGAGTCTCCTGGGTGTGAGACTTCGGCCTGCGTCTCCCTGCAGCCGTCCCCTCTGTAGCTGCTTAACTAACGGGTGCTCCGTGCCAGGGCACGTCCCCAGCCCCAGGGGAAAGCGATGTATGTACACACACATACATGTATACATGTAAACACAGATGTAACATGTACATATGTATAAGTAGTGGCGCCAAAGGGAGGCTTTGGGATGGGTGAGTGAGGGGCTGGCTCAGTGCCCTCGCATTGCCAGCAGGGCTAGTATGGAACCCTATAGCCCAAGAGCACTGACCTCTTCCCTTTTAGTTGTTAATGTGGAGGCAGATATTGGGGCAACTTGGGGTGTGCGGGAGGCAGGCATTGTGGGTATCACACCCACCTGGCAGCTGAGTTCTCTCTGGGAGCTGCTGGCGCGGACCCCTACTTCTCTTGGGGCATGTGGCAGGAGAGGGGGAATGGAGGGCAGAGGTGGCTGTCAGGGACTTCAGGGTCTTGCCCCGCTAACCCTGGATGCACGGGAAAGGCCTGTGGCAGTCCAGGTGGTGCGCCCCTCTTGCCTCGGGTCTCCTGTGCTGTCTCCAGGGGGTGATCATGTTTGTTTTGGGGTCACACCCAGTGATGCTCTGGGGTTACTCCTGCTTTTGCACTCAGGAATTACTCCTGGTGGTGTGTTAGGGGACCATGTGAAATGTCGGGGATTAAACCAGGGTCGTCCTCGTGCAAGGCAGATGCCCTCCCCACTGTGCTATCACTCTAGCCCCTCCAGGGGGTGTCCATGGAGAAGGGGGTTGGCAGGGACCCACGGCAGAGCCCAGGACAGAGGCAGGTGACTTAGGAGCAGAAACAGACAGCTCAGTAACTGAAACCTTTTGTTGAGAGCTGCCCCCATGCCTCTTTCCCCAGGCTTCCATCTCATCTTCCTGCCATACGCTGATGACAAACGGAAGGTGCCCTTCACTGGCAAAGTCTCAGCAACCCCAGAGCAGGTGGACAAGATGAAGGCAATTGTCCAGAAGCTTCGCTTCAAATACCGGTGAGCGAGCTGCTGAGTCTTGCTGGGAACTCACGTGCAGTGGAGATGGGGGATGCGGTTTGGTGCTTTGGAGTCAACTGAGGGTCACCTTTTGTTTCAGTTTTTGTTTGTGGGGAGCACACTCAGTGATGCTGGGGACCCCTCCCCCCCCCCGGGCTCGAGGATCACTGCTGGAAGTGCTCAGGGGACCTTACAGTTTGTGCTCAGCCCGTTGCTTTCCAGAAGCTCTCGAGCAGGGCAAGTCAATCAGAGTGAAGATCCTGGGGTGGCTCTTGCTGGGCAAGTTTTTAAAGCAGCAGCAGAAAGGGACTGGGGAGATGGCACAGAGTGCCAGACCCAGCACTGCGTACCTGCTGAGCCAACCTGGGTGGCACAGAATAGCAGCAGCAAGGTGTCGCCAGAGGTCCCCCCTTCTCTCCCTCCACCTTCCTGTCCTCGCCTGGTCCACCCTTCGTCTGTCTCTGCGCACAGCTTCCAGGGCTCGGCTGCCCCTGTTGACTTTTATTTTTTAAGTCTAGTTCAGTTTATTTTGGGGGGTTTGGGGGCCTTATCTGGCACTACTCAGGGACTGGTTCTGCCTCTGTGCTCAGGAGGAATATATGTGGTGCCGGGGCTCGAACCTGGTTGGCTGTAGCAGCTGTGTGCACGGCATGTGCCTGACTGCCTCTGCTGGCTCTCTAGCTGTCATTGTTTGCTTTCCAGTCAGCTGTTGGATCTCGAGCATTAGTTAAGTCAGGTCAAAAGGGGGCCAGCTGAGAGGGAGTATGGGGGAAATTGTCTGCCATAGAGGTAGGGGGAGGGTTGAGATGGGGGGATACTGGGGACATTGGGGGTGGAAAATGTGCTCTGGTAGAGAGATGGGGTGCTTGATCATTGATCATCAAACTCAAACATGAAAGCTTTGTAACTGTCTAATGGACATGGCCGACCCGAGTTCGATTCCTCCGCCCCTCTCGGAGAGCCCGGCAAGCTACCGAGAGTATTCGATATGCCAGACACAGTAACAACAAAGTCTCCAATGGAGACGTTACTGGGCCCGCTCGAGCAAATCGACGATCAACGGGAGGGCCTTTACCTTTAAAAAGAATTAAAATGAAAAAAAAGGGGGGTACCTGTATAGTGAATAGAATTAGAATTAAAATAGGATCGAGACTGACTTTAAAATTTTTTTAAATGTGGGGATCTGAAGAGAGAATAGCAAGTAAGGTGTTGCCTTGCACACAGCTGACCCAGGTTCAATCCCTGGCCTCCCATGTGGTCCCTTGAGAACCCTCAGGAGTGATTCCTGAGCATCAGTGGGAGTGGCCCAAAATCCAGGGAAAAAACAACAACAACAACAAAAAGTTTTTTTAGTGCTGAGAATCAAGCCCAGAGAGGGCCCCCACATTAGGCAGGTGCTGTGCCCTAAGCCCACCTAAGCCAGCCCTCGGGTCAGACGGACGGTTAGTGGTAGGGTTCAGAATGTGGCACACCTGAAACTTATTACTATTATACTGCACGGTGACTTTAATTAAGAAATCCGAGAGGGCCGTGGAGGTCATTTAAGGGCTCTGGATGTGTTTTGCATGCAGGTTGGGTTCGACCTCAGTGCTGCAAGATTCCCAGCTGTTGTGTTTGAAGTGTTTTTGTCGGCTGATTTTGTACTTGGACTTTATTCATAGCATTTCTTTCGTTATTATTTTTTTGGGGGGGTGGTGCTCACAACTGGAGATGCCAGTACTCCCTGCTCAGAGACACCATGCAATGTTAGGAATTGACCCTGCATGCAAAGCTACGCAAACCTTTTGCACTCTCGCCACAGCTGTCATTTATTATTTTGTTTTCAAAACATTTACAACTTGGAGGCCAGGGAGAGAGCTGAAAGGGCTGGTACACAGCTGGGTCGCTCCGGGTTCAATTCTGGTACCATACCAAGCACCGCCAGGTGTGGCCCCGAAAGCAAACACTGGTGCTTGTTTCCTGATATGTCTGTGTTGCCACTTGTTTTAAACAGAAGTGACAGCTTCGAGAACCCTGTGCTGCAGCAGCACTTCCGGAACCTGGAGGCCCTGGCGCTGGACCTGATGGAGCCCGAGCAGGCGGAGGACCTGACGCGTAAGGAGGCTGAGCCGGGGGCTGTCCTCCCCGCGGGCGCATGTCCTCGCTCCTTCCCCTTGTCCCCCTCAGTACTAGCTCGTGCCTCACCGTGCCCCTCTGGCTGTATTTTGGTTTTTCTAGTGCCCAAGGTGGAAGCGATGGATAAAAGACTGGGCTCCTTGGTGGATGAATTTAAGGAACTTGTCTACCCACCAGGCTACAATCCCGAGGGAAAGGTTTCCAAGCGAAAGCAAGGTGAGGAACTGGGGGCCTGGAAGGGTAGTTTTCACTTGGCAAAGCCCAAGGGTCGCAGCCATCAGCTCCTGCTGGGGGTCTAGGTGGGTGGCCTCGTGCCTGTGCACTCTATGGTACAGAAGTCTCGGGGTGGTTCTGAGGGCGAGTGTGCAGGTTTTGCGTGCTGGCGGCCCAGGTCTGATCCCAGCACCTCCAAGGAATGAGCATGGAGCCCAGAGTAGCCCCTGAGCATTGCTGGATGTAGCCTCAGTTTATCCCCCAGAAACCGAACTTGATTCACCACTTCATTTTCCTTGGGTTGGCTGTTGTTAGGGTTAGGTGCCCAACCAGCTGAGGGTACCGTGGACATGTGAGCCATCTACCTTTGGGGTGGGTATTTTGGATTGGTTTTGTTTTTTGAGTTCAAAGCACATTTCATTATTTTTTAATTTTTATTTATTTTTGCTTTTTGGGTCACACCCAGCAATGCACAGGGGTTACCCCTGGCTCTGAACTCCGGAATTACTTCTGGCGGTGCTCAGGGGACCATATGGGATGCTGGGATTCAAACCTGGGTTGGCCCCGTGCAAGGCAAACGTCCTACCCGCCGTGCTATCGCTCCAGCCCCACGTTTCATTATTTTTAAAAAATACTTAATTACAAAATTTTGGGGGGGTCACACCCCGTGATGCTCAGGAGTTACTCCTGGCCTTGCACTCAGGAATTACTCCTGGCTGTGCTCAGGGGATCATATGAGATGTTAGGGATTGAACCTGGGTTGGCCGTGTGCAAGGCAAATGCCCTACCTACTGTACTGTCTCTCCAGCCCCTAAATTTATTTTTTTATTGAATCACTGTGAGATAGACCCTTACAAAACTGTTCATGGTTAGATTTCAGTAATACAGTATTCCAACACCCAGATGGTGGTTTGCCTTTTAATTTTTTTTTACCTTTCGAAAAATGTTTTAAGATTATTTTTGGAGGGCCACACCTAACATTATTACTTGGTGGTTACTGACAGTGTTGTCCTTGGGGTCACCCCAGGCTCAGGGAACCATTTGGTGCTGGTAGGGATCAAATCTTGGAACTGTTCTGCCAGGTCTGTGGTCCAGCCCTTTGTTTTGACTTTATGCTCTTTTCACCAGGGGTATTCTCCCTACGAAGTTTCTTATCTATTTTATGTCGAGAAGGATCTATATTTCAGCACATATAAACCAGCTGTTTCCTAGTTGGCTGTGTTCCAAAGCCCTCTGTGCTGGACACAATCCGCTGTTTAGGCAACAGCACGTGCTGGATGATGAGGACAGTTTGTCCTGTCAGCCTTAGTGGCTGTTTGCTGCAGTGACCAGGGCCCACTGTGTCCTGAGTCCCCAACCTCACGCAGGTTCTCCGGTGAAACTCTGGGTCAGGGTGCAGACAAAAGCAGCTTAGCTGGCGCTGAGAAAGTGACAGGAGGGGACAGGCGTTTCTCCCATATTCACCCATTCTGGGCTTTGACAACTTTTGTTATTGTTTGGAGGTCACATATGATGGCGCTCCGAGGCTGCTGTCCGCATGGTCTCGTGCAGTGCTGGGTGTTGAATCCAGGCTCCTCCGTGCACAGCGTACGCTCCAGCTGGCTGAACCATTCTTTCCAGACCCCTGGATTTTATCTACTTAAAGAATTTCATTTTCTAAAAAAAATGGGAGGGGGAAATTCCACGGTTTTGGTTTGCAGTTCTCCAGTTATAACTGATAGACGTATTTTTAGGGAGAGGTGTGAGTCTGCACTGACCGTAGCTGGACTACTGTCCTTTTGGGTGGGTGGGGTGCAGGGGGACTATGCCCTCTCTGGGCTTCTCGGCCACCTGGGTGAAGAGTTAGCTGCAAGGATGAGTTGGTGCTCAGGCCCTGCAGACAGGAGTGACCCTGGCACTGGATTGCACCCGGGGGGAACCCTGAGCTGAGGGGACTGAAATGGGCTCAACTGCCTGGAAGTATGTCCCCTGCCCTGTGCTGCTCTCCGAGTCCGGACGGCCCCTTCTCTTTCCCGTGTGCAGTGACACTCACAGTTGGGGAGTGGGTTGTAAGTGCTCACCATCGGGTAACAGACCTGGTGTAGGCGAGGGCCCTGGGGGCTGTCTTTGGCCAATGGAGCCAAACTGGGGCTCGTGCCTCAAAGACTAACAAGGGGGCCAGGAATGTGGCTTGGGGTGGAGCACATCAGAGGCAGAGGCCCTGGGTTCCATCCCAGCTCCGTGAAAACAGAAGATGTAGGTGCTGTGAGGGGTTTGGGGTGACCAGTGAGACGTCCCTGTCTGTATCAGGGGTGGGTCCCAGTGCACCCACCTCTGCTGGCCTTCCAGCAGTCTCTCGTCCCTTCACTCAGGCCCCCCCCCCCCCCCCCCCGTGCTGCAGAGATGCCTTCGGCAGGAAGGGAAGCTGCCGTGCTTAAGGATCATTCATGCCCTTCTCGTCACTGTGCCGGGAGTCCATCCCAGTGTCACATCCAGAGCAGGTGGTCTGGGGCTGGAGAGCTGGACAGCAGGGAGAGCGCTTGCTTTCCGGGAGTAAGCCCTGAGCACTGCTGGGTGTGGCCTGAAAAAATGAAACCCCCAAACCAAAATGAAATGGAAAAAAAGCAGAGCCAGTGGTTTACAGAGCCGTCCCTGGCCCTGCGGGCTCTGCTGTGGCTCCCTCCAGGCTCGGACTTTTTTTGACTCTGCTCAGTGAAGCTGCATCCTGGGGTGCTCTAGGTAGGCCCAAGCCTTGGGGGAAAGGGTTCAGTGCAGCGCCCCGAGCACACACCTCCCCATGGGTGCATTTCCCATCACCCCCACTGACCTCTGTTCCCAGATGGGGAAGACCCCGGAAGTAAAAAGCCCAAGGTGGAGCTGTCTGACGAAGCGCTGAAGGCCCACGTGAGCGCAGGCACGCTGGGCAAGCTCACCGTGCCCGTGCTGAAGGAGGCCTGCAAGGTGTACCAGCTCAAGGTGGGCACGAAGAAGCAGGAGCTGCTGGACGCGCTCACCAGGCACTTTAAGACCTGACCGTCCACACTGCCACCGGGCTGCCCTCTGGTGCTCTCCTGCTTTGTTGCCTTGGAGACAGGGTAGCCCTCCCACTTGTGTGCCTTACTCTAGATCTGAATAAAGAACCTGATGGTGCGCTACGGACTGTTCTTTGTTGGCAAGAGAGGTGCCTGCTTGCATGTGCCACCAGCTTAACTCCAGTGGGAACGTCCCAGTGGGAACCAGATAACCTTGGGAGTGGGTTTGACAGTTAAGGACAGAACAGTTCCCTTCTCACCCGTTCCTCTGCCCTGGCTATAGCCCCTGAGAATGTGCTTGGCTCATTCTGGATGTTGTATCTGGGGGTCGTTATCCTGCTCTTCTGATGCTGTAGTTTGGGGGCCTCACACAGGTGCTGGGGGCTGAGCAACTCCCAGTCCAGTGTCTGGGGTTGCGCCCAGATGTATTTGGGGCCACGTGGTGTTGGGGTGTCTCCTTGGCCCTGACCCGAGCCTGCTTTGGAAGAACAGAATGGAGAAGCAGCCTGTGTGGGAGAGTCGGCACTTGTGGCTCTTCAGCACTAGAAGGAGCACTAGGGAGGCAGAGGTGGGGTCTACTCCCGGATTTCCCCCCTTGGATTCTTCTGAGCTTTTGCTGTTTGTTTCTGGTGCTCAGGAACATGGTCCTCAGCCTCCTGCATGCAAAGCTGTGGAATCATCTCTTCAGCCCCTTTCTTGTCTTTAAATTTACTTTGGGCCTTTTATTTCGGTTGACTTTTTTTTTCTTTTTGGGTCACACCCAGCAATGCTCAGGGGACCATATTGGATGCCGGGGATCAAACCCGGGTCGGCCGTGTGCAAGGCAAACGCCCTCCCCGCTGTGCTATCGCTCCGGCCCCTATTTCGGTTGACTCTTAAGCAGTCACAGGACCCTGGGACCCTGGTGGTTGCTTCTGGCCTGCTGCTGCCACGGCCCAGCAGTGCTAGTACTAGAGCCACAAGGCCAGGCTCAGAATCAGGCCCCTGCACACCAGGCAGTGCTCCCAGCACTTTGAATACAGAATTTCTCCCGCGGAAAACATCCCAGGTTCAAGAAGGAAACTCAGGGGTGGGGAGACCTGTCCCACACAACCTCAAGTATGTGCCAAGCGCTACTATAGCGTTGTCCTCCCATATATGCTGGAGCAGGCACCTGTAACTTCTCCTTTGTGAGACTTGTTACTGTTTTTGGCATATCAAATACATCATGGGGGAGCTTGCCAGGCTCTGCAAATGGGATATTCTCAGTAGCTTGCCAGACTGAGAGGCAGGAATTGAACCCGGGTCAGCCATGTGCAAGGCAAACGCCCTACCCACTGTGCTATGGCTCCAGCCAAGCGCTACTAGGAGCCCAAATTCTGCAACAGTGGTTCTTCACTGGGAAGCACCTGGGCATCTGGGGGAAGGAGTGCAGGAAGGATAGCAGACCAGCAGCCCCCCACCTCCTGGCTGCAACACCCAGGGCTGCGTGCACATGCCCCCCCCCTACCCCACCAGACTGACCGTCCAAGGGGCCAGGGAGCCTGTGCTGGGAGGTGGTGGGATTTCTACAGCCCCTCGTGTAGTTTGAGACGATAGAACTGCTCTGATGTATTTCTCCCAGCAGTGAATTGCTCTTCTGAATGTATCAAGACTCTCGGAAGGTGGCACCTAACACTGTTGTGGTGGACACCTGACCAACACTGGCACCCACGAGCTACAGGGGGAGGGCTCTCTATCCACCCGACAGGTAACTTTTCCTGGAGTCCATCACTCGCGCGCCTCTGCTGTGGCTTCCAGCCAGGTGTCTGCCTTGCACAGAACCCTCATTGGAGAACCCGTTGGTCCCTTCTCATCACTCCTGGTCCCCAGGTCAGCAGACCATGGTCTCCGCAGTGCCACCTTTGAGTCTCACAGCAGCCTGGTGTATCGCTGCCTGCCACCCTTGGGCTCAGTGGAGGGAAAAAATGCGCCCCGGTGCCCAAAGCAAATGGGGGGGTCCCTAGCAAAGGGGTGACAACTGCACAGAGCACATGCTTCCTCCCCAAAGGAAACGCAGCCCCCCATAGAACAGAGAACCCTTCTGACACACTGACCAGACTCCACCAGAGCCGGACACAGTGGGCTTTCCTGCACACAGCAGGAGCTAAAACCCTTTCCTGGCTCCTCCCGGCGTTGAAGGGTGCTACCACTCTGCTCCCAACTTGTGCCGTTAGTTCATTTCTCTGGAGATTCAATGGCAGAAGCACCACCAAAGGGAGAGATGGAGGGAAGAGTCTGAAAACACAAGCCCACGAACACCCAACTGTACCACAATAGTTTATGATAGAAAGTAGCCGGGGTCCTACACACGGACAGACAGGAAGACACAACACTGGGGGGGCGTGAGGCGGGGCGGGGGCTAGACCAGGAGCCGCTCGATGGACTGCTGGATGGACTGGATCTGCTGCTTCAGCTGGGAGCCCTCCTTGATGGTGACGGAGCAGGCGATGACGGGCCGGGACACCCCGCAGGCCCTGCCCAGCGCCTGCTTGGAGCGCACAAACACGTAGGGCACGTTCTTGTCTTCGCACAGCAGCGGGAGGTGCAGGATGATCTCCAGTGGCTCGGCGTCCGCAGCCATCACGATAAACTCCGAGATGCCTCTGTTGAGCGTTTTGGTGGCTGCAAGAGGACACAGGACCCAGAGGGAGGGGCTGGTGAGGCTCGGGCAGGGCGGGTGCCAGAGAACTGGGCAAGCCCTGGCATTCCTGTCCAATAAATACCCCCCTCCCCCCGCCCCTCCCCCCCCTACACTGAGGCAACAATCTCATCAAAACACATCAAAGGGGCTGGAGCAATAGCATAGCAGGTAGGGCGCTTGCCTTGCACACGGCCGAACCAGGTTTTGATTCCCAGCATCCCACATGGCCCCCTGAGCACCGCCAGGAGTTGTTTCTGAGCACAGAGCCGGGTGTGACCCCAAAACCAAAACAAGCCAACAATGATGACAAAAAAACACATCACAGATATTCTTTGGGGGTGTGTGTGCCAGAGGAACCCAGAGACCCACATGAAGACACATGCTCTACCCCTGATCTTTTTCCATCCCCGGGCCCTCAACTCATTCACACCAAAGACCAGGGCGTTCCTGCCAACTGCAACTTTGACAGAGGCTTCTCGTGCAACTCTGACAGAGGCTTCTCGAAACCCCACACAATACCCACGCACACTGGTCCAATGCATGGCCTGCGCAGGGCTTTAAGGCTGGAGCACTGGGTGAGAGCACAGGCCCCAGAGTCACCCGGCTTGAGTTCAGACCCTGGCGCCCATTCTCAAAGACAGGAGGCGTGGGGACGTTGACAGGCACGGGATGTTTTCATTCCACTGACCCTCAGCACCACACTGAAACGCTGCCCTTCAGTTCTCTCCTGGGCCCCAATCAAGACGATCCCGCCCCTTTCCGGACCCAAAGCCCCGGCCAGAGGCCGGTGCCCCACACACTCTGCGGCTGCCGTACCCTCATTGGCTCCTTTCCGTAGCTGCTTGTAGTTACATGACTGCTGAACAAGGTCCAGAAGCTTCTTAGTGAGGTGGGCATCTGCGAGAGGGTAGGCTTTTGGGTTCACGTCAGCGTCGGCCTATGGGGAAATCAAAGCATCAAACTCAGCCACGGGCATTCCAGACAAGCCTCCAAATAAGCCATTAAACAAACACTTTTGTTCCTGGGCCACACCTGGTGATGCTTGGGTCACTCCTAGCAGGGCTTGGGAAACATGGGGTGGGGGGATTGAACCTGGGTCAGCTGCATGCCAGGCTAGTGCCCTGTCCTCTCTCTCCAGCCCCCACTCTGCTTTGACTGGAGCACTTAGAACCTTAAGGTGTGGATGCACCGGGGTCGTTTCTTCCTCTGGGGCCGGGAATACAGCTGAGCAGTTGAACACTTGCCTAATGTGAGGCCCTCAGTTTTATCCCTGGCACCGCCAAAAACAAGTGTCAAAACGCCTTTTGTCACATCTGCTATTTCCTCCCTCGCTCTTAATCTTTACCTTTGGGTGGTTACAACTTATGTCCCTAAATTATAAAAATGCCGGGCTGGAGAGATAGTACAGTGGACAGGGCGTTTGCCTTGCACTCAGCCGACCTGGGCGGACATCTCAGATGGTCCCTGAGCACCGCCAGGAGGGATTCCCGAGTTCAGAACCAGGAGAAGCCCCGAGTATTGCTAGGTGTGCCCCCTCCTTCCCCCTTTGCTAAGCCTGACTTAGCAAACAAGGACTCAGCACCACCTCAATTCCAATCACTCCTCTTAAGAATATGTATTTTGAATGCCAGTGATTTCTAGCAGCCTTCCAGTAATAGCACATCTCTAGAAATAAGAACTCACAACTTTCAGTAACACACACTTAAAGACCCCCAGGAGGAGAGGCGCCATCAGAAAGAGGGCTTAAGATTCCTCTGCCGGGGGACTTTACCCACCAGTTTGGTCTTTGCTCCCGCCCCCAGTTCTATGAACACACACTGTGCAGTTTGCGCACAGGGCACCAGCCTTAGGACCGAGTGTTCACCACGCAAAGCAGTCCAGCTCATTTCATATACAGCCAAGTCCAGCGACTTCTGGGCCCATCCCCTTAAAAAACTTCCCACGGAACCAGGGGGGATGCGATCAAACTCCGAATTCTACCGGGTGTGAGCTCCAGAGGGAGGGAGGGAGGGCTGGGCGGGGAGAGACGCCCCCGCCCGGGTTTCAAAGTCCCACCAAGGGGCTAAATAAACCTCATTCTGGGGCTGGAGTGACAGCACAGCGGGTAGGGCGTTTGCCTTGCACGAGGCCGACCCGGGTTCGATTCCCAGCATCCCATAGGGTCCCCCAAGCACGGCCAGGAGTAATTCCTGAGTGCATGAACCAGGAGTAACCCCTGTGCATCGCTGGGTGTGGCCCAAAAAGCAATAAATAAATAAATAAATAAATAAACCTCATTCTGCAAGAAACCAGCCCCCCGCACCCGCCCGAGGCTCTAACTCCCAACCCCCTCCCCCCCCCCCCCCGGCACGCGTGGCTCGCGGACGGAACCAGAGCAGAGCCCGGGATTCCCGGGATCTCCCGCTCCCGAGCCGTCAGCACCCAGGCTTCACACCAGCCCCCTAAAAAAAAATAAAATAAAAAAGACCAAACAAACTGGGCAAAGAAACGGAAAAAAGATAAGGGGCGGGAGCTCAGGGAGGGGCGGGCGTCCCTCGTGTAACGCCCCGCGCTCTCCCACGTGGGCCGGTTCTTGCTGGTCCTTGCTGCCGGGCCGCTCACCTGACTCGGGCTTTCCGCGGACGGCCGGCAAAGCCCCCCACGGGCAGCAGCACCCGAGAGCCCGGACTGCAGCCCGGGGCCTGCCGAGACCCCGCGGCAGCGGCCCAGGACAAGACCCCGCGGCGGCGGCGAGGCTGCGCTCGCCCGGGTCCCGACCCGCGCAGGGTCTCGGCCTCCCCGGAGGGCGCGCGAGCCCACAGCCGCGAGCCCCGCTCCCGGGGGCCGGACACGCGCACTCACCATGGCTGGGTCCCGCGGTCGCGCCACACCTCCCGGAGCTCGGCCGCCCGCCGCCGACTCGCCGCGCTCGACTCGGACGGAAGAGGCGCCGCGATGGAGCAGAAATGGCCGCGCGCGCGGGCGGAAGCGGAAGCAGCGTCACGGAACCGGAAGGTCCCGCCCCTCTGAGGGCGGAACTCTCTGAAAAGGCCTCACTTCCGGGAAACGGGCCGGAAGTATTGTTCCTGGGTTTTGGGTTTTGTTTTTTTCAGTCTGCAAAATTACTGGCAGGAGTAATGAGTCAAGCCAATATTAACTTGTAGCACGACTAAGAAATGACGTCATTACTCCTGGTTCTGTGCTCAGGAATCACTCCTGGAGGTGCTGGAAGACCTTAGGTGGTAAAGGGGATCAAACCCAGCCCAGTGCAAGGCAAGAGTCTTAACCACTGTGCTATCTCCACCTCCAACCTTGACATTCTTTAGTGTCATTTCCCAAGGCAGGTAGCCACTTATTATTTTCATTTCTGAAAAATCGAAATAGGATGTTCTTGAACAATGAGTCTGTATGCTTTACCTAATTAATTTTGTTTCCCAATTGTATAATAACCAGCTGACCCTAAAAGGTCTTGCTATTTCGCTGTTAATAAATGTTGACATACCCTCACGATACATTCATCTTTTTTTTTCTTTTTTTTGGGGGGGTCACACCCCGCAATGCTCAGGGGTTACTCCTGACTCTGCACTCAGGAATTACCTCTGGCAATGCTCAGGGGACCATATGGGATGCTGGGAATCGAACCTGGGTCAGCGACGTGAAAGGCAAACACCCTACCCACTGTGCTATTGCTCCAGCCCCTACAATTCATCTTTTACTACACTTTGTAGTTAAACCTTTATTTTCTTTGTTGGTGCTGGGCATTGGACTCTGGGCTTCATATACACCAGGCAAATGATCCACACCCCCAGCCTCTATACTTCTGTACTTAAAACCCTAAAATCCTTACCAAGACTTCCTAGACCCTCCTCCACCCACCCACCCTCCACCCACCCTCCCCACCTTACATGGTCTTACATCCAGTCACTTTTTTTTCCCCCCTAAGTACTCTCCTTTCTCTCAAACCCATTCAATCCCTTCTGTTGATGGTCATATGTTCCAGTCTCCTCCTTCACTAACTCCTGTTCATCACCTCTTCAGTGATGAAGATGCCCTCGGACCAGGCAATCACTCCACTTGGATGGACTCAGGAGCACCCACACCCACGCCATAGTTGCTGCCTGTAGCACTCATTGACCTGGTCTTGATTCATTATCTCTCTTACCACGCCCGGAACAGAGCTTGTCATTGCTGGGAAACCTGGTACACCTAGTTTATGGCATCATTCCTTGTCTAAAGAAGTGCTTGTTTCACTTAGGTATCTTTGGTGGCAAGTTTGAGAGAAGACTGTGGAGCCCAGAGGGTGGCCTAAGGGGAGCAGGGCAGTGCTAAAACTGAGCATCGCACTCTGCTGCTAATGTGGCACAGCTCTGATTTCTCTGTTCATCATGAGAGAACTCGCACCATGGGGGAATGGTGGGTTCTCATAAGACGGTGTTGGGAAGGACTAACTCTAGGATTTGAGCTTAGGAGATTTGGAGGGAAGTTCACACAAGCGAACTTTGCTTGGATTAGCTGCTATCAGGAAGTATGAATAAGTCTATGACCGGGCATCTCCATAAACATTATCGGCCAGGTTGCAGGAATGAGGTGGTTCTGTCACTGTAATGGCAATGACTCACTTTGGTCAGGATAAGGGGGCATCTGATCATTTTCTAGGTCTTGTCCGAGAACAGACATTGTTCAGAAGTGGTTTCCTTTTTGTTTGAGTGCCTTAGTCCGAGGTGGCTGTTAGGTAATTTCTGTTCTATAGGAGAGCCCCCAGCCCAGGCACAGAGTTAGAAAGGCAGTGGCTACCGAACAGCGAGGCCACCTGAGAGTTGACCAGGTCCTCCCTGTCCTTGGATTCTGATTTTTTTTAACCCTTTCTCATCTGCCTCCTGTTCCTTGCTTGAATTTCTGTTCTTCATAGGGCCAACCCTGGTAGAGGTAGTTCAGCCGCTAAACTTGGCATGTATCTCTGTCCTTGACTCATCTCAGTCTGTGAGAAATCAGATTTAAGTTGTTGTGCCATCAGCCCCATCTATGCCCATATATGATGACCTTCTCCTGGTACCCCCTGGTTATAAGGGGACCGCATATAACCCCACTATAAAGGATTAAAGCTCAGCCTGTTCTAATTAGTTCTGTATCTGTGTCCCTACATAGCTCATGCTTTTGTGTTGTTCGGGGGGCCATTACCCAGCTGGGCTGAGGACTCACTCTTGGCTTTGTACTCAGGGGTCACACCCGGTGGGGCTCAAAGGACCAGAAACAGAGCTGGGGATCAAGCCACCTTCTCTTCTCTACTATCTCTCTGGCCCTGTCCAATGCTTTGAAGATGACCTTGGGTGTAAGACAGTTTTTAGGGTTGTATTTATCCTTCCACCAAAACTGAGCCTGAGACGGGAAAAGTAAATTTCCCAGGAGAAAATCAGAATTCTGTGAACAAAGAGAAAGGCATGCTGGGTAGTGGAACGAGGAAACCCAAGTTGAATGCAGTGTTCACTGCAGGCTGATATCAGAGGCTGAGGATGTGCTTGGCTGGGCACAAGCTTGCATGGGTTTGATGGGTGGTTCCACATGCCGCGTCCCTCCACTGTTCCTGGGTGTGGCTGCTATCACCAACACTGCCAAATGTCTGAAATCAGATGGACACACGAATAACTGTACCAAAGTATCTAACAGAAGGAAGAGATCAAACAACACAGGTTGCATCATCCCCACAGGCCTGGGAGCGACTGTTTCTCCTCTCTGCAGAGGACAGGCTGTGTCAGACAAACCCTGCTTCCGTTCCCTCCCTTGGACAGCTCCCCGCCACCGGGCCAACTGCCCCAGTGGGTACTCTGAACCAGAGGCCTGGTAGCAGGCTCCTTTGTGAGGTGTCCAGTGATGGGGGGGTCACTGAGGGTTATCCTGCTCCCCACTGGCTGGTTCAGCCATACAGGTCCAGCCCTCCAACCCCTTAGTACCATCTGCTGACCTCAGGTTTGCCATGTTGCTGTCACTGCTGGGTGTCTGTGTGCTGGTGGGGCCCTTCCAGGGGCCCGAGTGGGAGCCCGTGCGGGGCCTGCTCACCGACCAGGACCACAGCTGCCGGCACCCGCAGTGCTGCGGGAACCTGCTGGTCTTCTGCCTCTTTATAATCTGGCAGGTTCAGCACTGTTGGCGCTGGTTCACCAGAAGCCGCTCCAGCAGGAAGGAAGCCAGCAAGGTGAGTGGCTCGGCCACTTGTATTTTTTTTTTTTTGTCTTTTTGGGTCATACCTGGGAATGCTCAGGGGTCACTCCTGGCTCTGTGCTCAGAAATCACTCCTGGCAGTGCTTGGGGGGGCCCTATGGGATGCCAGGGATCGAACTTGGGTCAACTGTGTGCAAGGCAAACACCCTCTCCGCTGGACTGTCATTGCTCCAGTCCCACAACCACTTGCTTTAAAGCCTCGGCGACCGGAAATGAATGGCAGGAGCACAGGGGCCAGGAGAGGACTTGGCTAGGACAGGAAGCACCCTGGACTCCTGTCTCCCACCCTCTGCATTCAGTCCACCCGCAAGTCCCCTGGCAAGCCTGGCAAACCTTATCCAGCCCCTCCCTTACTCCAGGGGAGACCTCTGCACCCTAGGAGCTGCCCTCTGCTTGGGTCCTGCCTGACCACAGCCTGTGCTCCCAGAGTTGGCAGGACAGCCTGCATTCCTCCCTTTCACCTCCCCTCCCTCTTTTTCTCTCTCTCCCTCCCCTCCTATCTCTTCACTCACTATTTATTCGGGGGTGGGGTTTTAGGGCTGCACTCAGTGGAGCTCAGGAGTAACTCCTGGTAGTGTTCAGGGGGTCAAACTGGAGTTGGCGCATGCAAGAAGATGCCCGGCCCTGCCTGTGTGCCATCCCTCTGGCCTAATGCGGGTGTCTCCTGTCACAGACTAGTTCTGCATGTGTGGAACCCTCTGGTGAGATTTTCATTTTTTCACTCACAAACCTAACATGTTTGTGAGTCAGAGAGATGTGTGTGTATGGAGCCGGAATGATAGTACAGTGGGCAGGGCGTTTGCTTCACATCTGGTCAACCTGGGTTTGATCCCCAGCACCCCATATGGTCCCCTGTGCCCATCAAGAGTGATCCCTGAGCACAGAACCGTAGCAAGCCCTGAGCACCGCCAGTGTAGCCCCCAAAACAGAAAAGAATAAAGGTGTGTATGCGTTGCCAAGGATTGAACCCAGGGCCTTACACGTGAAGGGCGCGTGTCTTACTTCTGGGCTAGATCCCCAGCCCCAAGACAAACTTAACAGATCACAGCGAGCTGGAGGGACAGCTCAACAAGGTGGGGTGCATGCTTCACATGGAGGGGGACCTGGGGTTCAATTCCTAGTACCACCCAGTCCCATGAGCACCACTGGGAATGAGCTCTGAGCCACTGAGTATGGCCCCCAAGCAAAATCAAGCCAAAAGGAACAAAATATTCTGCAAATCAAAATCCCACAATGGTGGGGCTGGAGCAATAGCATAGCGGGTAGGGCGTTTGCCTTGCATGCGGCCAACCCCGGGTACAATTTCCAGCATCCCATATGGTCCCCTGAGCACCGCCAGGAGTAATTTCTGAGTGCAGAGCCAGAGGTAACCCCTGAGCATTGCCGGGTGTGACCCAAAAAGCAAAACAAAGCAAACAAAAAAAAAAAAGAAAAGAAAAAGAAAAAAAAGAAAATCTCACAATAGTTCTTACGGATGCGCTCCCCCTTAGACCCAAAAGGAAGTCCAGGCCCCTGACCAGACTCCTAGGCACAGACTGACCATCTCCAACCTCATCTCTCATCATCCTCCTCGTCACTCAGTTCCGCCCACATGACGGCCTCCCTGTTCTCCCCCCTTCCGGGGGGCGGGGGTGATTGTGACCACGGCTCCCTCCCCATGCCTTTGCTGCTTGCAGGTGCCCCCATGCCTTTATTTGTGGTGGGTCCACCCACTAGTTTAGATCTCAGCACATCTGGGGTGTGGGGGCAG